ATGTTCAGGACCAAAATGAACACAACCGTATAAACTAGAAATGAGCTGAAAAAATATGTGTTTCACTTATTGTCTTGGTTTACTATGAAAATGTGGTTAATTCAAGACTATAGTTCATTACCCACAAAGTAAATCCGATAAGTTGTTACTAAGAAAGGTTCAAATCCAAAAGACACCTTTTCCAATGCATATTAATTCTACTTTCTCAGAATTATATGAACTTATTTCCTATTCAAATGTGGGGTATTATTGAGTTTGAATAGAAAATGTGGGGTATTGTTGGACTTTAATTAATTAAAAGACACATCGGTTCAATATGTCGGTTAAGAACCGTATGCGTTGATCAAAAGCACCGATTGAATTATTATATAAAGCCATCAAGTAAGATCTGGAAGAGATAGAATCATTCTGATTTAATCTTCTTCTTCCCCAAATAAATTTCTGAAGGAAAAACAGAGTATAGTTTGCTAGGGTCTCCGTACGGTGACGTTGTACGGAGATCGATAGTTGTATCCTCAAGATAGACGTCCAGGAACTACACACCATTGTAGGGACGAAATTCTGTCTTAGGAGATTGCTGAAGCAAGCCTCTATCAATCTATAATCATTTGAGTTGTGATACAAAGAGAGGTATTCATCTGTATGGTTTACAATTCTGATAATATTATTACGGTTTATAAATTAACGTAACGTGTAAGTGAGATTCAATTGCATCACTCTGAAATAACATTCCTTTCCTTCCAGATAGTGTGTACAGCGGTTTGGAACGTGTAGCAAGTGCAGAACTGCAGATTTTTCTCAGTTGATTCATCAGATATGATCAAGACCAAAGACACCCAGCTCTGGGTGTAACATCTCTGCAACCTCCCACGGGCAAGCTTCCCCCAGATCTCGAGTTTCCAAGGTATGTCGGCAGAGAACGCAACCCATGTTAACACCTCTATTCCAATTCAAAACCCTATCCATGGTTGAAAGTAGGCCTAGGCGCAAGCCGGGTACTTAGGATTTTCGCCCTACCCGCTACTTGACTTGCCTTGTGCAAGTATTAAACTTTTTTACTTGTGCTTATACTTGATTCGATCAAGTACTTATCTAGTCAAGTACTTACCTATATTTTAAATACTTGTAAATTACTTGGTAATACTTGATACTTATTTTTTAGGTTTAAAAATTTGAAATTAAATATACCAATACATATAAATTTTGGTTAACGTGGAGTGGAATATATATGTTTTTCATATATTTGTTATTTTGCTTAGTTTGTTGAAATTATTTGATTTAGTGCGTGTATAAATAATTCATTGAATATAAGTATGTATTACATTAAATACCTAAAAAGCTAAAAAAAATCAAATTTTTATTACAATAACAGTAGTAAAACAAGTATATTAAGGGGTAATACAAATTTTAGAATAAATATTAAGTAATAAAACAAGTAACAAGTCGAGTATTAAAAAAAATTTTGATACTTGATACTTGACTTGTACTTGCAAATAATAAGATTTGCATACTTGTTACTTGCCTTTAAAACATCAAGTACTTGATTTTTCAAGCCGAGTACGAATCAAGTAGCAAGTAATGACGAGTAACAAGTATCAGTGCCTAGCCCTAGTTGAAAGCTAGTAGTGCATAGCAAGCCAGATGATGAAAGTAAATTTTGGAGTGGCTCTACTGAACCAGATGCCCGATGACCAGTCGGAAGCTGGGTGCTCTTCTCGAATCATTCGCCCAGTCTCGTACGTCAAAGATTTATCTCTGTATCCAGTTCTCCTTTTCCATAAATGAATATCTTCTACTGCTGGCCTCTGTTTTTCTCTGCAAATAATGATTTCCTTCTCCACCTCTATCAGAATATCAGTGCGGTGTCTTGTACAACATCTATGCCTACTTACAGCTTCTGAAACTGTGGCTGTTCGACTTATCCCAAGATCAATCACCCTACGACCTCCTAAAAGGTCAAAGAGAGGACCTAGTTCAGACCAAGGTTCAAACCAGAATGAAGTTTGCTGTCCATCACCAATGCATCCTTTGTAGAACTGTTTCACTTCGCTTCTCAACTTTAGAATTTTCTTCCACATCCAGGAACCCATCTGAGTATTATCACTGATTTCCCAAACGAATTTATGACGACTGAGTTGATCATTCACCCATTTCCCCATAATGAATGATTCGAAATCATCCTCCAGATCAACTTTATCCCATTAACCAGATTAACATGCTTCAACTGCCGAAGCTCTAAGCCACCTTCCTTGCAGACAAAAATCAACCCATGCAATCTTAGCTTTCTTAGCACTCAGTTCAGGGTCATACCTAAGAAAAGTTGAGCAGATCGATTCTATTTCTTTCATACATTGGCTAGGGAGCCTGAATGCTGAAGACCAGAAATTTATCAAGCTCCTGATCTCAGATTTTATTAACTTCAACCTTCCTGCATAAGAGATAAATCTATTTTTCCAAGTTCTGACCCAAGCTCTGACCTTCTCTATCAGCGGCAAGTAATCTTGTTTAGTCATACCTTTTGTCATTAGAGAAGGCCTAAGTATCTAACTGGCAGCTCCCCAGCTTCGAATGGGAAGTTTGTGAGGATCAAATTTCTAGTATTATCTGGGATATCCGCCATGTAGATAGTATATTTCTCCAGGCTGATCTTTAAACCAGACCACCCCAAAAATTCATCAAATACCGAAATAATGCCTTCTATAGATCGCTGAGTCCCTTCCACCAAGACCATAAGATCATCCGCATGGAAAAGGTGTGTGAGAGAGAGTGACTTACATTTTGGGTGATAGCCAAATCTCTTCTTCACAGCTGCCTTGTCCATTTTCAGTGATAAAACATGCATGCATATCACACAAATATAAGGGGAAAAAGAGCATCCCTGCCCATTTTCAGTGATAAAACATTCGTATTTGGCACTAACAGTTTGTTCGGATTGTATTTGGTACGATTGAATTTTTTTGGGTAGGAATAAACACTTTTCCCTAGTTTTTCCAAAATATTGTTTGAAGGAAAAATTGCACTTTTGCCTGTTGCTAAATTTCTTTCAAATATAACTTTGAGATCATCAAATTCTTCAAAGGTTTCATCACGAAACGTTTTGTAATTTGGATGTGCCTAAAATTAAAAAAAAAAAGTTAATATAAAGAAAAATATATAAGTAATATAGTCGTGTTATTTTTTTTACCTTTATATGTTCTGTCTACATTTCATCTCGAGCAGTAAACCGTTTTGTGGTTGAATCCCATCCAAACCCAAAACTAAAGCGAAGAAGTTCAGCACCACCTAAATACTTTGCTTTCAAAATCTTCATCCTGGTTGTGTAGTGCTGAAAAGATTTGGAGCTCTCATTCATTGAGAGTAGGTAGGATTCTTCTTTCCATTGTGAATTTTCTGAATAAACCTTTACTATCACGCAAACTTGTCGCAATACAATCTAAGAGTAGATTTATCAAAGTCTTATTTTCTTGAGGACTCTATTGAACATATGAACCTTTTCCACGTTCTTGTGGTTCTTGCTATGATTCTTTTTTGATGTTCTTGTGGTACTTTTTAAATATGTAATAGAATATATATATATATATATATATATATATATATAATCTAGCCCATGCAATCTGAGGTAAATTATATTGAGAATGACTTTGTAATCAGGTTTTCCATTCATTTATTTCGGAATTTAAAAGGGTTTTATCTTTTCATTCATAATGAAAGATTCATTGTTCTTAAAAAAATATTTTATTTGATTCTTAACAAAAAAAGATGTTATGTATATGTTATATTCAAAAAAGCTTTTAATTTAGAAAAGTTACTAATTTGAATTTGCGATAATTTATAAAATACATATGCTTGTGATAAAGAGCATAAGTCATAACTAAACATTTTTTTATATGAACTTTTTTATAGTCGAAATAAAATAAATGGTATTTTTTTCTCTGTTTTCGTCATTCTTGTAAATATATCTATCAAGAATTTTTTTTGTTGATTCAAAAAAAAGTTGTGTAGTAATTTTTGGAATATTAATGATACCTAGAAAAATAGTAGGGTGTTTTTTTGCCTATATATGGTTGTTTGCTTGCAGAAAGTCTCCCTCGAATATGGGTATAGTTGTTATACAGTGTATTTCGATTTAACACTTTTTGGTAAAAATGTTAAAGTTTATACCATTTTAAATTTTCTTCAGAGATTACAAATATCGGATAAAAGAAATACAACTAAGACAATACTAAAATACTAAAGGAAGTTGCACTTACCTAGAGGCATAGAATGGATAGCAAAACAAAGAATAAACCAAACCGTCAATGGAATGATATGGCCAAAACACAAACACAAGAGAGTAACGGTACAGACGTCAGTGATACTATGAGATACGAGCTGGTGAATTGAACAGTATAGTTTTCATTTTTTAATATCATTCTGGGTTGGAGAAATGATTTATCTTAATGATATTCACATTATTTGGGACATGACTGCATTAAACAAATATATTTTCACATATGATTCACAAGATTTATCAAATTATCCACCGTAAGTGCATTTTTTCTTACTTTCAAATTTTAATTTACTTTTATATATTGCTCATCTCGGGAGAGGAGCAGTGATATATCAGCCAAAAATAAACATATTTCATTTTTAATATATAGATAATATGTACTCACGCAAAATCTAATTTCCAAAACATGAAATGAAAAACGCATACCATTAATGCTCTTAATGTTCTCATGTCCACTGTTCTGCCATCTACGAAAATAAAATTTTATTAACAATGGTATTTTAATTAACTAAATTCTTTAAATAAATGTATTCCCAAATGGATTTAGTTTTTGAAAAATAATATCAGGATTCAATCAAATATATTTTTTAATATATATATATATATATATATATATATATTTGTTTTTAAATTTGAGCCCCGTTTTTTGAGCCACAGAACATGATTAATAAGGAAAGGTTTGAGCCCCTAAAATCTTAATCAGACCAAAAAAAGAAGAAAAGGAGAAACAAGTTCAAATACGTCATTATTATTACTTTCACATTATTGCCTTCATTATTATCCATTGAGCGTTGATAGTCGCGTATCAAACGTATACTCACGGATCACACACACAATACAGGTCTCCTCTCTTAATTATTTAATAGAAACATGTACGTGTATACCAACGTACAAACATGTGTTGAGAGAGTCTATCACCTAGGACAAAAGACGACTCTGTAATTAGTGTTACTGCAAGTGAAAGTGCTGGTCGGGTCGTCTTGTGGATAGCTGTAGGCGTCCGGACACCTCTGTTTGAAGAACCTTGAGAACCCAGTGGCGCCACATGATCCCTGCCCGTTTGTACAACAGTACTCATTTGTTTTGAACACCGTGCACGGGTTGTTGCAACCTCCTGGCGCTCTCAACTGGCTCGGGCACTGTCCGTTTATGTCCGCGTTGCATAGTATCCGCTTGCAATTCGAGCTAGTTGGGAGGAGATATACAAAGTATTAGACAAAACAAAAGATATACAAAGTACGCCAATAAAAAAAAAGAGAGCATATCGTTATCATTTTAACATTTTAAAAGGGAAAGTGACTATTTTAACATTTCATGACTATTTAATTTTTTTCTCTGTTTTAATTTTTTTACAAATTATTTTAATAATTCATGATTATATAATGTTTTTATATTTTCAGTTCTTTTGAAGTTAATATAAAGTGCTTTTAATCCTCAAACTAGATCTCGACCCGCGCAATCACGCGGGTGTTTGTTTTCATTTATTTTTATAGAAATATTTTGTTTTTAATTTTTTAAAACAATTTTTTTTTACTTCTAAATTGATATATAGAAGTGAAAACAAACTTTCACATGTATATTAAGTATATGTATATCAAATTTTAAAAGATAATAATTTTATCATATATTAGTTTTTCATCGAATAGATTGTTTCAAACTTTCACATGTATTTGTATCTTCTTCTATATATTTTTTTGAATTATTATTTCATTATTAAAGTCATAAATATATGTAAACATTGGTAAAATATTGTTTTATTCTTATCTTTAAAGATATTGTAATATTTCTCAAATTTAGAAAGTTTAACAAAAATAAAAATTTTAGCTCCATATAACTAAACATTTAATTTTTGTTATTTTAAAAATAAACTATATAACTTAAAAAATGTTTCTATTCGTTTAAGGTAGTATAGCTTAATCATTGTTAGAAAATGCTGATTTTGTTATTTTAAAAAATAAAATATATAATTTTAAAATTTAACATCGACAAATATATTATAAATAATTAACTTATGAAGATATACGATTACAACATTAAATCATATTCATTTAATTTAAACATGTATTTTATTATATTATATATAAATTCAATGGGTTCTCTAATTATTGTTAGCCCAATAAAATTTTTGGATAAGCCCAAAATTATATGTAATTAATTTTAAGGTTACTAATTAATGATTAAATAATGTAATGTGACAAATTCTATTAGATAGTCTATTTTAAATATCACATATTAAAAGAGTCATGACTTTTCTTTTAATATAATAGATATTTTGTGTTTACTGATTTATACGGTCAAAATTCGAGTATGCTATCTTCACAAAAGAGTATTACTTGATAAAACAAAGAAAGGATTGTGGCTTTTTACCTAAATTCCATAGGGATGTTAAATCCATCAACTAGTGAGATGTCATAGAAGTCTAAGTTGTTGAACTGGTTCAAGGCATACTCAGCCAACGTGTTCGGTGGCTGGCCCCAACCAGTGCATTGAAGTCCACCAGAACAATCACCGGTTTGGCATCGTCCACGACCTGAAGAGTCAAAATTACATTTGGTCCGACCCCAAATCCGTGCCATACGCGTGCCAGCCGCAACATCCAATGGCCACGACTGGCCAGGATCTAGACGCCGTCCACCACCTGGGCTGGCAGCAGCCCACACAGTGTAACCACATTGGTTTAGGATATCAAATCGGGCAGCCTTTGCGGTGGAGATGAGAAAAAGGATGGAGAATATGAACGTAGAAAGTGAGGTTTTTGCCATTTGTTTTAGTTTTGCTACTAAAGTGTGTGATATTTTGTTAATATTTACCATGGTTTATATAGAGGTAGCCAGCGGTGTTCTTGTGGGGTCAGCTCCCGCAAATTTCGTAAAATTTTGTATTTACTAAATATATATCATCAAATGACTCATGCATAATTCTGTTTTTACTCGATTTTTCTCCAAGCCCCTGCTCAGATTTTCGTTCCATGTAGCTTCTTTTTCCTGTAAAACGCATTTCAGAATCCACTATATTTTTCAAATATAGCTTTAGTTCTAATATAAAATTTATAAAGACTTTATTTTTGTAAAGGAAAAAATTTATAGGGACAATCCTTTAGAATAACAAACTTTTAAGTTTTTTTTTTTTGTTTTCTTGTTTCAAACGTAACAGCATAGTTTACTCTTTCGAGAATAACATAAATCCAAAATAATATATTACAAATAATTGAAAGAATTTTTGATGTTTTGAGTATACTTTAGCAATTTTAGACATGGATGTTTGACTATTTATATATTTTTACAAGTATTTTGAACAATTGTAAAGTATTTTATATATATTGAAGATTTTTTTATATACATTAAATCTAAAAATAATTAATATACATAAGTATATAAATCTCTTTGGATATATTCAGGTACCCAAAATACTTCGGTTTGGTTCGGATTAGGTTTCGATTCTTTAAATACCAAAATTTTGAACCCATTCGGATATTGAATCAATTTTCGGTTCGGGTTCGATACTACTTTGTCAGATATATAGGTGGTTCATTTAATATTGTAGTTAAGTAACCAGACAAACAGTCTTAGATGTGAAACTAATACTAACTGAAAATTTCATATTAGTTATACTTAAGCTTTAAATTTGTTATACCTAAGTCTAACTTTTACAAATAAAACCAAGACTACGAACGAAATATAGAGAACAAAACTTACATATTGAAAGCTTTGAATTTATTTTAAGTTGGTTAAACGATCCAATATTAGAGCCATTGTTTTGTCTTTCTTTTTGTTCGTTTTACTGTATTGGTGAGATTGGTAAGTTTTGATTTAGATTATATTTTTAAGTGAGTAACTAGACCAGATACTCAAACAATTATTGTTGCTTTTTATTTATAAGCGTTTGAAGAAGTTCTTTCTTCTATCTTCTATCTTATGATTTTGTTTTGTTTTGGTTTTGGTTTTGATGGTGAAAGAAGAAGATATGTGGCTGCTGGGATATTTTTTTCCTTACATCTCTTTGTAATTAATTAGTTGTGATCTCTTAGTTGGGTATATACAGTGACATCATTTACGTTCATATTTTTTTCATATTTTCTTTCGGTAATTTGCTGTTTATTTTAGTGAAATAAACCCAAAATTCAACTTCAATAATTAGCATCAAATATCCAAACCACAATAAGTAAGTTTAAATTGTGAGCAGATCCACATCGATATTGTACGAAGACCGTTTTTCTTGTTAATTCGCCGCAATAGGACAATTACAAAGAATTAACAAGTAAATGTGTTTCGTTGTTAAACGTCTGTCGTAATGGACATTTATTGTAAAATCCATGTTACGAGAAATGATTGTGGTTGTAAAAGACAAGGAAATACTTCGTCGTAAAAAGCTACGTTACATTTCATCGTAAACTCCTCATCCCATTTCTTTGTAAAGTGCTCGTAAATATTCCTTGTTAACTCTTTGTAACTTTACGAGGAATTTACTAAACTTCCATGTAAACTCGTAGTAAACATTGCTAATAATTTACTAGGAATTCCATTTTAACTCGTAGTAAAATTTACTTGGTATTGGTATATTTTATATTTTTATTTATAAATATTTTTTATTTATGAAATTCCTTATTTAAATTCTAAAACCCAATAATTAAAAAATTTAATTGTTTTAAAAAGCCATAATATAAAGTCATATATTATATATAAATTTATAATACAAAACGAAACATAAAAAAAAACTACGGCATGTTGTTTCCGAGGTACTCGTCATGGCAGGTTGGTTCTGGGCCGTGTCGACCGTTTGACTCGGGAGGATGTTGACTTGGAGTCTATTCCCAACGTCCGTCCCTTCTTTCTAGAAACCACCTTTTTCAAAAAAAATTATATAATACATTAATATTTAATTATATGAATTATATATATATATATATATATATTTTTTGTGCTACGGTTATATTAAAAAGCAAAAGGATTATGGGCCGAAAAAGAGGCCCAAAATCAGAGTTCATACAGAAGAAACAAGATGGAGAGCCCGTTTTGCTAGTAGATCAGCATTACGGTTTCCAGAACGAGGGACGAAATTGAAAGAGATAGAAGCAAACGCAGAAGAGATCTGCCTAATATCAGAAATGATACCGAAGATTTCCTTGATCTGACGCTTGTTTGTGATAGCTCTGATGAGCGTTTGACAATCAGAACAGATGTTGAGATCTGTGATGTCGAGAGATGCAGCCGCGAGAAGACCCGATTTGATCGCAAGTGCTTCCGCCATGAGGGGGGAACTAACATTATCCGATCTCATAGAGCCTTCGTGGGGTTGGTTTGTTGCCAATTCTGATATGATCCATGCCAGTCCAGCTTTCCTGGTTGTTGAGTTCCAAGAGGCGTCCGTGTGACAGGTGAAGGCGTGACTTCTGGTTTCCAGGCGATGAGAATGGATCGTGTTGGGTACCCCCTGATGCTTCAATTGATGAGTATTTTGTGCTTGAATCCATTCTCGGCCTGTAGTTAAACCTTTAAGCATGACTTCGCTAGGGAGGAAGCTTTTGTTTTCGAAGATCAACCGGTTTCTTGCCGTCCATAGGGACAAGAGGATCCAGGGTAGGACAGGAGAAGAGAAACCTGAAGGGGGAAGACAAATGCTCTTTCGAAATTTTACTAGTGCAGACTGGAAGGTATCATCAACAGCTATGTGAACTGTTACCGCAAGTGGAACCCTTTCCCAGGTTTCACGAGCAAAGGAGCAGAAGAAGAAGATATGCATTGGAGATTCCAATTCTCCGCATCGAGGGCAAGATATGTTGGAGAGCAGGCCCCTTCTCTGTAAGTTTTCTCCTAGAGGAATGGCTCGTTTAAGTATAGACCACAGAAAAACTCTTAACTTTGGTGAGCATTGAGCTGACCAGACGTCTTTGATCCAGCTGAATTCTCCCAGGTTAACCAGCAAAGAGTTTGCGCGTGGGGTGTTGCTAATCGAATTGTATCCAGACTTAGTAGTATAGATCCCGGACTGGAGTGGTTGCCAGATGTAGATGTCTTCTGCACCAGACGTACTTGGCTTAAGTAGCTGAATCTGATCGCTTAGCTCAGGTAAAAATTCTTCTAACCTCTGTTTGTTCCAGCGTAGATCATCTGTAAGTAGGTCTGATACTCTGAGATCCAGTGCCTTTTGATTAATAGGACCAAAAGGTTTTAGATTTGAGTCTAGGGATATCCAGGAATCATGCCAAACTCTTGTTGTCCGCCCGTTACCAATGGCTCTCCCTAAATTATTTCGTAGTAAGTCCCGGCCATGTAAGATGCCTCTCCATCCATGTGAGCAAGCTGAGGGTAGTTCCACATCCAAAAAGTTTTTCTTGTGACAATACTTCCCCTTTAGGATCCTGGCTAGTAGGCAGTTAGGGACAGTAACTATTCTCCAAGCAACCTTTGCCAACAGAGCTTGGTTAAAGAGTTGAATGTCTCTCAAACCTAGCCCTCCCAAAGCCTTAGGTTTTGCTAAGTTATCCCAAGAAACCCAACACATACTCTTTTTTTCACTTGATGAGTCCCACCAAAATCTAGTTAGAGCTGACTGGATCCTTTTGCAGAGACTGAGAGGGAGCTCGAAACAGGACATAGTGTAAGAAGGAATGGAGGTGAGGACCGACTGCATCATGGTCAGTTTCCCTGCTTTAGAGAGGAAGCGAGTGGACCAGGTGGCAGCGCATTGTCTTATCCTGTCTACAATAGAGGTAAACAAGTCTCTTTTCCTTCTTCCAAAGTGTTCTGGCAGCCCTAAGTATTTTCCAACACCCCCTTCTCTGGTTATACCTAGGATGCTCTTTGCTGTTAATTTAGCTTCTTGGGGTGTTTTGCAGGAAAACGTAATAGCAGACTTGGTGTTGTTTACTTTTTGGCCTGAAAGAGCTTCATACTGCCTTAGGATCTTCATCACAGCATGGCAATTCTCTGGAGAAGAGTGGCAGAACAACATCGTATCATCTGCGAAGAGCAGGAGATTGATACGTGGGCTTCCTCTAGCCACTCTGATTCCCTTCAACGAACCATCATTTCCTGCAATTCTGCAAAGCCCAGAGAGGACCTCACCACATAAAATGAAGATATAAGGAGACAAGGGATCCCCTTGCCTAATTCCCCGGTAAGGTTTCACTGATCCGTACACTGTATCGTTGATGAGGAAAGAGTAGGAGACTGACTTGATACACTGCATTATCAAATTTGTTATCTTCTCGTGGAAACCCAGCCGTAGGAGAACCTGTGAAACAAACTCCCATTCAACCCGGTCATATGCTTTTGACATATCCATTTTTACTGCCATAGAACAGTTTATTTGAGCTTGAGAGGTCTTGAGATAATGGAGAACTTCATGTGTGATTAATACGTTGTCAGTGATTGCTCTCCCAGGTATGAAGGCAGAGTGGTTCTCGGAAATAATAGAGTCCAACACAGTCTTCAGGCGTAGAGAGAGGTGCTTTGAGATGATCTTGTAGAAGACGTTGCACAGAGCAATTGGACGGTAATCTGCTACTCTCTTTGACTCTGTTGATTTCGGAATAAGTCTAATATGAGTTTGGTTCCATGTAGGGGGTAGGAAACCCGAAGTGAAGAAACTCTGTATTTCCGAGATCACTGATGGGCCAATAACATCCCAATAGGATTGAAAGAAGCTGGCTGAGAATCCGTCGGGGCCTGGGGCCTTGTCTGGATGAATGGCGAAGAGCGCCTCTTTGATTTCTGTCGGGGAAGGATCTTTGATGAGGTCTTCGTTCCACTCCTGGGAGATTTGAGGTTGGAGGATA